ACAGAAGCATTACAATCTGCTATTCATATAGAAAGTGTGAGTAGAAAAAAGGAAAATGCACGTGTGAGTCTGAGAACATCTGTTGAAACAAGTCATTTCAAAGACAGCGAAACAGCGGCTCTTAAGCAGCTTGCTAGTATTTGATGGGAAGGAGATGGAGTGGGGGTGGAGACCAGTGGTGTGAAAGTAATTAGGGCATGAACAGCATCCCACCCTATTATCTTTTATTTTCTTAGTTCTCCGACCCAGAGCCTGCCCAGTAAGGGAGCAGGTTGATGAATAGCAGCAGCCAAGAATATGACATGAGGATTAATTGCTCATAGCATGGTACAGCTGGTTCCTGGGAAAATTTGAGAGACATATAACAAAAAGCCCTGTGACCAAACAACGTGAAAGATGACACAAGTTTGGGGAGAATATTTTTGCTTTTAAGTCCTACATTTTGGATACCTTCAGCTACTTTTTATATCATAATAAAAATAACTCATTGAATTATATTTTTTTCCTCATTCATGATGAATTGTCAAAGATAATGGGAGAAAATCAATGATAAATGTACCAATTTGCAGAAAGAACACTGATTATTTGATTATTGTTATTTACTGCTTATTATATGTTTTTCACCCCTCTAGGAATGATGGGACAGTGTCTTATTTTTTAAAAATGTAGAGTTTGACATTCCCCTTCCTAGCTTTTCGTTATTCTGATTGTTAAAGAATCCAGAAAATGGCTGGAGTGATTAGCACAGTGGGTAGGGCATTTGCCTTGCACGCAGCTGACCCGGGTTTGATTCCCAGCATCCCATATGGTCCCCTGAACACTGCCAGGAGTAGTTCCTGAGTGCATGAGCCAGGAGTAACCCCTGTGCATCGCCAGGTGTGACCCAAAAAGAAAAATAAAACAAAAACAAAAGAATCCAGAAAATGGAACTTTAATTTAGTTAGCAATGGGTACTTAATTCCAATATTTAGCATTAGCATTATTGATTAAATTTCTGTTGGGCAGATAAATCAGATAGTTGGATCTCGATTGAAGAATTGAAAACTCCAGAAGTAGTGAGGTTAACTTTCTTGTCTGAGATCACACATTGGTTCATCACATGAGAAGACTAGGTGACCACCATCTCTAGTAAGCTCCTTTCAACTAGCACTAAGAAGTCGAGGTCTTGTGGTTCTGGCCTGGGTGTACACCCAAGTCTTGTTGATGAGCTGGAACTCTTAGATCTGGTTCCCTAGCCATTCTTTCGCCTCAAGCTCCAAAATCAGAGAAACTACATCTGGAGCCCACCTTCATGGGAGCTTTTACTAGAAGATAATGGTCCCATCTTGACATGTCCCTAGCTGAATTCATTAGTTTTCTGCTCCATCTTTGGGCTTCCTGATGATCCCAACTTCCTTTTTTGAGTGAGTGTTGTCACCAAACTCAGAGTTTCCAAAGCTGTATCAGGAATTCCTCAGCTTCTCTATTGATACTTGCTGCTGCTCAGGGCTCGACCAGAATCTTCTATGGATGGAGTTTCCTGAAATGTAAATCTGAATATTTTCTTCCAGGGAGCTGCAGTTTTTTTTGCATTTCAGCTAAAATCTACAATTTGTTGTTTGTTTCATTTTTGTTTGGGGCCCACATCTTCTGACTGACCATGGGTGCTGGGTGGATAAGGCATATATGCCCTGCCCATTGAGTTTTCTCTCCTGCCCCCCAGATCTACAATTCTTGACATGATTTATGAGGCCTCACAGAGCTTAGTCCTGGGTATCCAACTTCTTTTCATTCCTTCTCAATGTATTTTGTATGTTAACTATATTAACTATTTCTCTGATTCTCCTGCTGTCATGCCTTTAAGTAAACTGGTCTTTTTCCCTAGAAAGCCTTTAGGTCTCAACCTGCCTGCACCTCATGTCTTTGATTTAGTGCTCTCTCAAACTTTTGCCCATTTTCTCCTTTAGACAGTATTCTGAGAGGGTAGAGTAGTCCGTGTGTATTGAGTACAGAGTATAGAACCTGTTAGGCAAACTGTTGTGGAATGAATAAGTCACTGATTATAGATGTTCTCTTTGAACCCTTCCCCACCCTGACCATCAGTAGTTTCTCAACAGTATAGTCACTATTCTTGCTCATTCTCTGAGATACCTATACTGTGTAAATATCTCTCAAATTTATCTTACTCTCCCTGTATCTTAAGAGACATGATAAATCAGAGATGGGGGGGGGGGGCGGGGGAAGAGAGATTGAGATTTAACTCATTAAATAGGCAGCCTTGGAGGAAAACCTTAATTATCAGTAGCCGATATTTATTGCATAATTTATGGGTGTCCAGTACTGTACTGTTTGAAGTTTTTGCTTGAAAATGGGGCAGTTACGATAGAGAAGGGAACACTAAAACAAAAATAGTAGGAAATGATCATTCCGGACAAGAACTGAGTGCTGAAAGTAGGTAAAGGAATAAACATGATAACCTTTCAGTACTGGTAGTGCAGACCATAATACCAAAGGGGGAGGGAGGATGGAAGGGAGGTGTGTGTGTCTGGGGAGGGGGGAGGGAGGAAAAGTGTGGGCAGGAGGGAAATGAGACATTGGTGGTGGGAAATATACACTGGTAAAGGGACAGGTGTTGGAGAGTTGCATGACTGAAGGTGACTGAAATCAATCAGTAACAACTTTGTAACTGTATCTGACAGTGATCCAGTATTTTTTTTAAGGAAGGAAGAAGAAAATGGGTCCAGAGTTAACGAGGCTCTGTTACTGTTCCCTATTTTACAAAGAAGGAAAACATGGACATGAAATAATCTATTCACTCTCATAGAAAATGAATTGTAATATTCAATTTTCAACTCAGTGCAAAATATAGAGTTAAAATCAGTTTAGCTTATGAAAAACAGCTGTGAGAGAAATACCTCTGTTTACTATTAGGCATTTCATAAGGTGTGGTAACTGTTGGATTTTATAGTTTGAACACAGACTTTGAAGTCAGTGTCCATAGCTGGAAAGTGAGGGGAATTTAAGAGTTGTGACAGGAATTAGATCAGACAGTATGTAAAGTACAGAAGACAGGAATGGGTATACTGTAGAAAGCCTGAAATGGGTGGCTGTTCTTATTCTTCTAAGTCTTCTGCTTATTTAACCTCATTGAGCTTTAGAACTTAAAGGAGAGTTTACTGGGCCTGGTTGATAGATTCTCATAGGACTGCAGTGTGTGTTTTGCATATGGAAATCCTTTATTTAATCCCAGCCTTCACTGAGCTCACTTGGTCTACCCCACAATTTGTCAAAGAGAAAGTTGAGTTTTTGGTCTACTAAGTACTTAAGAGGAACAAATTGGAATGACTACCTTTCATTTAGATTTAGATTTAGAGTATATATGTACTTGTATAACTTATTCTAGATCAGTTAACAATTATAGTCCATATATTTCTCTTAGCCAGTGACTGTCTTATATAAACCTAAAAGATGGCCAATTTCAGTACTGTAAAAATGCTGATTATATAATGATATACCATGAAGATATATAGAACTGTTGTCTCATGCCTTAGAATTTTAAAAAGGTAAATGTTTACTTTGGAAATGAGCTTTTGTTGATGAAGTATTTGAAAAACATCACACCTGCTGCAGTGGAGAAATAACTTTGAAAAGCTATCAATGGGAAAATTTTTCTTAACCAGTTTATCATATTTCAAACAAGATAAATTATTTTGTTACCTTTTTTTTCCTATGTTGCTGTAAGAATTTTGGTTTTAACGATTCACCTTTTGTTTTTCAAAGAAGGGGAGAAATGTTTCACAGAATAGTGAAAATTTCTGCAAAGTATACTTTAATGGTTTTCAGTAAAGTTACCAAAACCAGGTTATCCTGATGTTTGCAGTTATACATTTCATGGAGAGCAATAAATAGGCAGAAAGAGAAACTTGAAAAGAGTAGCAGTTAGCAATATTATATTTAAATTTATAAAATGGAAATAAATTAAGTTGATCGAGTAAATAATTTTTAAAAATTTAGAAAGCATATAAATTTATAAAATAATTTACAAAGTGGAAATAATTTAAGTTGATGTGTTGTCCAGTTAGTCGAGTGGCCCACAGGCTCTATTTAGAATTCGTATTTGGCCTATGTGAGTAATGTTATTTAGCAGTAATTTTATGTGAAAGGCAGTATCTTGTTTGCTTTATTTCACTTGGTCTTCCACAGGTGGGTCTTATTTTTTTCATCTGACGAAACTTAAAGAAGGCTTAACTAAACTAATCTAATGCCAACAACTAGTAAGTGATAGAATTTGAACTAGAGTACAAATTTCAAAGCCTATTGTCATATGGTAAAGGAGCAGTCACGGCAGCTTGGAAGAATTCTTCAGAAATTCAGTTGGGATTATTGGGTAGCCTATTAAATAAAATCTGCTTTGGGACTTGGGGACTGCTCGGGCTGGCGTGCGTCTACACCTGCTGGTGGCTGGGTTCTATCGCCTGCACCACATGGCTGACCTGCAGCAGCCTGCTAGTATCAAGCTCTCACATGTCACCTAAAATAATAAGAGTTTGATTTACCTTTGGGTCTGAATCACAATCCAAATAAATTCCAAGTGGGTTAGAGAGTTATATTATAAAAACAAATTAAAAAAAAAATCAGTAGAACTTAGTTTTGAGTACTTACCAGATCTGTTAGAATGAATGCCTTTCTAAACTTTAAAGCCATTGCAATCCCAAAAATAAAATGGTCTGTAAAAATTTACTTTTTTTTAAGAGTCAAAATTACAAATTGGCAAGAACTAAGAAAGCAGCATTACTCAGTGCTGGCATGTAACAATTGTCATAATTGCTAATGCAATGCTAAGCTAGGAAAGGCTTTTTAATCAATCACTTATTATTTCCCTGAGGTTGTAACTGTAGAATAAGGTAATTGTGACAGAATAGACTGTGGTGAACTATTTTGCTGTAATTTCTGAGTTGTTAATATTATGGTTATTTTATTTTATAAACTCTTAAGTAAAAGTCTTATTCTATGACCTACAGGATGGGTTTCCAGATTTCCAGGACTCCGTGCAAACACTTTTCCAGCAGGCTAAAAATAAAAATGAAGAACTTGCCGCTCTTAGTTCACAGGTAATGTAAACATCAGTTACTAGTGCATAATAATTTTTGCAGGTTAAAAAAAAAATGGCTGCAGGGCCAGAGAGAAGTAGTGCACAGTAGAGCATTTGTCTTTTAGGCTGCTGACCCAGGTTCTATATCTGGCACCCCATATGATCCTATATGAGTTGTTCGAGTAATTCCTGAGTACTGACTGAGCTAGGAGTAAGCCCTGAGCACCTCTGGGCATAGCACAAAAACCATGAAGAAAGTGATTCTTTAAATAGGATCAATTTTAAGAACCAAGGATTGAGTTTATTTTAGATTTTTAAAAAAATGTCAAAAATAGGGAGCTTGTACAGTGGGTAGAGTGCTCATCTTGCATGTGGCCTTTCCAGGTTTGATCCCTGGCATCAGATCTGTCTCCTGAGTCTTGCCGGAAGCAATTCCTGAGTGCATTTGCCAGGAATAACTCCTGAGCATTGCCATGTGTGGCCCAAAGTCACAGCTGTACCAACAGGATAGCAATACAACTTGTTTTGATTTGATTTATGATCAGAATTTGAAATGGGAATTTTTTTTTAAAGTTGTGTAGGAAGTAAGACATTCCTATTTATGAAGCTTTAAAAGTGGGACTGAGTTGCTAGCTCATCAGGTGGAATGCATTTGGACCTCCGGCACTGCAAGGGCCTAGAGCTCCACTGTACTTCCTCCCTGGCAGCTTCAGCATCACTGGACCTGAGCACTGAACTCTTCTGTAAAAGACTTATTCTTTTTTTTTTTTTTAAGTGAAACACCATGAGATACAGTTGTAGACTTACAAATTTTTATGCTAGGGTCTCAGTTATACAATGATCAAGTACCCATCCCTTCACCAGTGCCCATTTTCTACCACCACGGGTCCCAGTATCCCTCCCACCCCCCATCTCCCCTTTCCACCTGCCTCTGTGGCAGGGCATTCCCTTTTGTTCTCTCTCTCCTTTTGGGTGTTGTGGTTTGCATAAGAGGCATTGAGTGGCAGTCATGTTTGGTCTATAGTCTACTTTCAGCATGCTTCTATCCTGGGAGGATTCTCTCAACACCCTTTATTTGGTGCTCCCTTCTCTATCTTAGCTTCCTTTTCCCCTACCATGTGTGGCTGGCCTCCAAACCATGCAGCAAAATTCTTGGTACTAATTTCATCCACTCTTGGGTGTTAGTCTCCCATTTTGTTGCTTTATGTTCCCCAGATGAATGCAATCTTTCTATGTCTATCCCTCTCTTTCTGACTCATTTCGCTTAACATGATACTTTCCATGTAGTACCATTTGTATGTAAATTTCATGACTTCATCTTTTCTAACAGCTACATAGTACTCCATTGTGTAAATGTACCAAAGTTTCTTTAACCAGTCATCTGTTCTCGGGCACTCAGGTTTTTTCCAGATTCTGGCTATTGTAAAGAGTGCTGCAATGAACAAACAAGTGCAGATGTCACTTTGACTATACTTTTTTGCCTCTCTGGGATATATTCCCAGGAGTGGTATTGCTGGGTCAAAAGGGAGCTCAGTTTCTAACTTTTTGAGAATTGTCCATACTGTTTTCCAAAAGGGCTGAACCAGTCGGCATTCCCACCAGTAGTGAAGGAGGGTCCCTTTCTTGGCACATCCGCGCCAGTATCGGTTGCTTTTGTTCTTTTGGATGTGGGCCAGTCTCTGAGGTGTGAAATGATATCTCATTGTGGTTTTGATCTGTATCTCCCTGATGATTAATGATGTAGAGCATTTTCCCATGTGCCTTTTAGCCATTCTGATTTCTTCTTTGAGAAAGTTTCTGTTCATTTCATTGCCCCATTTTTTGATGGGGTTGGATGTTTTCTTCTTGTGGAGTTCAACCCGTACCTTGTATATCCTTGATATCAACCCCTTGTCGGATGTGTATTCGGTGAATATCCTTTCCCATTCTGCAGACTGTCTTTGTATTTTGGTCACTGTTTCTTTTGAGGTGCAGAAGCTTCTTAGTTTAAGATAGTCCCATTTATCTATCTCTGTTTTCACTTGCTTGGTCAGTGGCGTAACATCTTTGAAGATACCATTAGCTTCAATATCATGGAGGAGGGTTTTGCCAACTTTGTCTTCAATGTACCTTATGGTGTCTGGTCTGATGTTGAGGTCTTTAATTCATTTTGATCTTACTTTTGTGCATGGTGTTAGGCAGAGTTCTGAGCCCATTTTTTTGCATGTAGCTGTCCAGTGATGCCAGCACAATTTGTTAAAGAGGCTTTCCTTCTCCACTTCACATTTCTTGCACCTTTATCAAAGATTAGATGATCATATGATTGAGGGAAGATGTCAGTGTATTCAACCCTGTTCCATTGGTCTGCAGTTCTGCCTTTGTTCCAGTACCATGCTGTTTTAATTATTACTGCCTTGTAGTAGAGTTTGAAGTTCGGGAGGTTGATTCCTCCCATTTTCTTTTTCCCAAGAATTGCTTTAGCTATTCGTGGGGGCTTATTGTTTCATGTAAATTTCAGGAATGTTTGCTCCATTTCTTTGAAGAATGTCATGGGTATCGTAATCGGGATCTCATTGAATTTGTACAGTGCTTTGGGAAGTATTGCCATTTTGACAATGTTAATTCTCCCGATCAATGAACAGGGGATATTTTTCCATTTCCTCGTGTCCTCTTTTATTTCCTGAAGTAGCATTTTGTAGTTTTCTTTGTACAGGTCCTTTATTTCCTTAGTTAAACTGATTCCTAGGTACTTGATTTTCTGGGGCACAATTGTGAACAGGATTGTTTTCTTCATGTCACTTTCTTCTCTTTCACTATTTGCATATAGGAAAGCCATGGACTTTTGGGTATTGATTTTATAGCCTGCCACTTTACTATACAAGTCTGTTGTTTCTAGGAGTTTCTTGATAGAGATTTTAGGGTTCTCTAAGTATTGTATCCTATCATCTGCAAATAGTGAGACCTTGATTTCTTCCTTTCTTACCTGGATGCCCTTAATATCTTTTTCTTGCCTAATAAAGACTTATTCTTTGACCTATACTTTGACCTGAGATTCTCATTGCCAGGCCAAGTATCACCAGTAATGCCCCCAGGACCCCTGAGAACTGCTAGGGACGCATCTCTAAAAAATAAAAAGCTATTTATGCCAGGTAAAGTTATGTATACTATGGCATTGGGTAGAATCGAAGGTAAAATACAATTCTCAATAAAGTAATAATAGCATTGTAGCCATAAAATAATAATAGTCAACAACGTGGATACCGTTAAATTATTTCAATTCATGTATGATTAAAATTGTTAAGGGAGATAATTCAGGATTCAGGCTTTTGCATGTACAAAGCTGCAGGTCCATCCCTGACACTGCATTTCCCACCCATCCAGGCCTGTCTGGGTGACATTGGAGGACCCGGTACCTCTGGGCCTGAGCAATGCCACACATCCCCAGGTTCTGACATTGAAGTGTCAGGCCCAGTTAACCTGATCATCAGGAGTAGTTCAAGGCGCCCTGAGTACGGCTTGGGAAACCCTCAGAGAAGAGGAAAAGAAAATATGTTAGGTATATAACTTCAGGTACTTTGACTTACAAGATTATTTAATGTGTACTCATTTTTAAAGGGTCATTTCTACATCACGTTTTAGAAAACATTGTAAGTTTTATGCCTGTTAGCTTCTTTAGCGACTGCTTTAGTTGAATTTTAAAATGGCCTTTTTTAATAGTAGGAGACTAGTACCCAAATGTAAAAACTCTCCGAGAGCAGCCGGGGAACCCTGATGGCTCTTCCCCTCGCCACCAGCGTTTGGGGTAGGCCCGAGCCTCTGGTGCGGCCAGAGCGGCCCGGGCCATAGGGCAGAAGGTGGAGGAGATGAGGGCCAAGCAGGTTGATTGATCAGTTGCCCTTTATTCCATTCTCCCCATGTGCCTGCCCCCAGTTTCTCTGAGTCTCCTATTCTAATCTCACACTGCTCCTCATTCCCGTCTCCTCCTGTCTCTCCTGCTCATCTCGCAGCCTGGGCTCTCTCTTTCCATGTGCCTGCTCCTGTATTCTTCTACATTCTTCTCCCTCTGTCCCCCTTGCTAGTCTCTCTGCGGTCCATCTTGCCACCCTGCTCTCTCCTCTCTCTCCAACTCTCTTGCCTCTCCAACTTCCTTCTCTCTCCAACCAGCTCTCTTGTTCTCCAGCTCTCTTCCTCTCCAACTCCCCAGCACTCTGGGCTGACACTGCACCCAGTCGGGTAGCAAAATCAGCATAAGAAAGCCCTTCCTAAGGGCCCACCGGGTTGAAAGGGAACACCACTTAGGAGGTATTCCAAAACCCTTCCCGACTGCCCAAGGGCAAAATACCCCTTAAGGTGTTTTTCTCTTTTCTTTAGTCTAATAGCTCTGTCAACATCTTAATACTAGTTATTTTTATATGGACACAGTAAGCGATAACATTGACGCTTATAGGGCAGCTCTCCTGGGAACATCTTGCCACAGACTTAGACTACAGCGTTCAGGCCAGATTAATCTTTCCTAACCAGTAGCAGGGTCTAAATCTGGTTATTACTTTTTGGATCATGACAGCAATTGTCCATGCAAATATATCCTATGTGGTGGGAAATGTACACTGGAAGGGTGATGGAACTTGTATGACTGCAACCCAATTGTGAACAACTTTGTAACTATCTCATGGTGGTAATTCAATAAAACAATAAAATGACTCTTTTTTTTTGGCTGCTGAGTCCTTTTCAGAGTTGAGCAGGTATATCCCATCCTAGAAATATTATTAAAATTTTATCAACTCATTAGTAACAAGTTCAAATGAATTTAAGTTAATGGTTCTTTTGGGGGGTCTTTTTTTTTTTCCTGTGTGTTTGGACCATGCCTGATGGTGCTATACTGTCTGATCCCTCTTGATTTGGTTTAGGTATATTCTGAGAAATAATGAAAACTTTTATTCTCTTATATCAGATATGTATTGGTTGTTACTATTTTAAATAATAATTTTTGTAACTAATTTTATATAGTATCCTACTGTGCTGCTTTTTTTTATAAAGCATAGTACTTATTCATATCTGTGCATTTTGACTATTATTTCCTTGGCAAGATAACCACAAAATACAGTTTTGAATATCCGTAATGGGAATTTAGAGCAGCATATTCAGATGGAAAAGTATAAAACATATGCAGAGATAAATTTATGTCAACCAACTAATTTTGTATCTTGAGACATGTATTTTATAATTGGTTAGTATATACTGCAGACTTTTAGTCCATGATGATGATGAAGATCTTCACTGGCATTGGTGTTTTGGGTTTGTGGGCTTCTTTTCCAAAACTTGCATTGTTTAATTTTAGTGGGAGGTGTGTTTGTCTTGTTCTTCTAGACAGCCATTTTACACCTTTTCTCCCCCAAATATACTGTCATCATATCAGAGTATGTAGTGCCAAATCCTAAAATAAAAATGCCAAGATTTTATTCTATGTGTTAGAAGCAGTTTATAGCAGATGTTGCTGTTGCTCTGAGATTCCTTTTTTTTTTTTTTAAATCCTTTAAAGGACTCAGTCTCCTGGAAAATAAAGTGAAGGTTATTTTGCTTTAGAGGTGATATGGAATTCGTTTTATGGGATTGTGCAGAAAGCTTTTTTCTTTCATGCAGAATCCAGCATTTTATGTTTCAACATGGTGATACAGACATCTATGCATATTTATGGTACGTGTATACCACATGAAGTGTGGACTAATTTTAATGAATACTAAATATATTTGCTGGAATCTGAAATTGGCATCTCTAAGCCATTAAAAAATCTAGAATGTTGTAGTTACTGATTTTATTTTTGCTTTACTTACTAGCAGCCTGAAAAGGTGATGGCAAAGCAGATGGAGTTCCTTTGCACCCAAGCTGGCTATGAGAGACTGCAGCAAGCGGAGAGAAGACTGTCTGCAGGACTGTACAGGCAGAGCTCGGAAGAGCATAGCCCGAATGGCTTGGCTTGTGATAACTCGGATGGTCAAGGTACATTTTCAGAGTGACCCACATAGCTGTTGCCCATTTAACTGGGTGCACTGAGAAGAAACATGGGAAAGAGCTGATTTTCAAGTCATAAGTTTTTTTGGTAGAGGCTTGCTGTCAAAATTTAAATTATTCCCTTTTCCAAAAAGGAAAGACCCCATCCTACAAATTTAACTGCTAAACTCTTTTATTTTATTTTATTTTATTTTTTAAATCTCAGTAAATAAACATAATGCATTTGGCATGTACTTATTTTATAAAGGACAGGTTGGAATGAGAGATCTCAGCAATACAGATCGTTTGCCCTAAAGAATTGGGTTCCACTGAACATGTGCAACTTTTTTTTCTGTGTCAATACTTTCTAGGGCTAGAGTGTTAGCACAGCAGGTAGGGCATTTGCTTTGTATGTGGCCAACCTGGGTTCAATTCCTCTGCCCCTTTAGGAGAGCCTGGCAAGATCCCAAGAATAATTTGCCCTCACGGCAAAGCCTAGCGAGCTACCCGTGATGTATTCGATATGCCAAAAACAGTAACAACAAGTCTCACAATTTGTTGTGAGACGTTACTGGTGCCTGCTCAAGTAAATTGATGAACAATGGGAGGACAGTGCTAGGGCGCTACAATACTGCCTAATGTATTTTTGTATGGGTGAATATATTTTTATTAATTTTTAAGTTTTATTTTCATAAGGTTGTTCACATTAATTGATTATATTCAGTATTTGAACACCAGTACACCTTCCCACCACCATTATTTTAAATTTCCCCATCACCATTCAATCTGCCTCCCACAGGCAGATGCTAAGTACTTTATCTTCTGTTGCCTATTATGAACATTCTGAGAGGTCGCTTTCTCAGCTGCACGCTCCTGGAATTCTCAAATTGTAAATGATTGGGGTTCAGACACATCTCTGTAGGGAACTAGTCCATTTTTAGATTCATTTGTGAGTCTCTGGATCAAGGTTGTTAATGCTCTGAGATTGTGCCTGGAGGCAGTTTGTGGATGTAATAGCCAGAATCCCCAAGCCAGCAGGGAGACGGGGAAGGGACAGCCCATCTCTGCCACTGCCGTGTGGCCTGGCATCTTCAGTCCTTGCTCCCACATACCTGGATTTTTCTTCTGAAAGTCTGTGGCCATCTGGGGTTCATCAGGAGTGAACGGAGAGGGAACACCCGCTCCATCTGAGGTGCCCCAGGCACAGGTCCAAAGAGCTCTCCAGTGAGCTGTGGTCTTCGGGGATTCATTGTTAGGTCTCTGATGTGTAACATTTTTAAAAAGATGGTCAAGAACAGATTAGTTTGTAAGGTTTATGACAGTTGACTCCTAAGTGGATATGATAACTGCTGCTTAAATACTGTATCAGAGTGCAGAGACATGGAAACACTCAAAGGCGATTTGTCTTTTTTCAAGGTTCACATCACGCCCCTTTCTGAAAATATTTTATGGTGTACATTTGGGAATTATTAAACTCTTAAGTTAAAAAGCTATGATTCTTGAGGATTTTAAAAAAATTATTTCATGGGTTTGATTCTTGGTACCACACAAAATGTTTTTTTTATTTAAAAAAATCAATATTAAAGAAAACCTTTATATTAAAACAAAAACTCATCTAGCAGTTATGTTTTTTTAAGTATATCCTCAAGGTGCCAGAGAGATATACAGTAGTTGGGAACTTGCCTTACACACAATAGACCTTGATTCCATCCCTGCCATCACATATGGTCTCCTGAACCTGCCAAGAGTAAGCCAGGAGCTCAACCAGTGTGGTCTAAAGAATGTAAATAAACAAATGAACATCTCTGTCTCCTCTTCAAGGCCCTCAGTATGCAGCAGTGAACAAGAAGTCCTTGCTCCCTGAAACTTTTCACTCCAGTGAGGGGAGTTATAGTTATAACAATAAAAGGACACTCTAGTATTTGTTTTGTCTTGGGGTTTCTCAAGAGGCCTTGGGCCCCCTGCCAGCAATTCTAGCCAGAGAGATATAGTATAGAAGGTAAGGCACTTGCTTTATATACAACCAACCCTGGTTTGAAACCCGTGTTCAGTGTATGGTCCCCTGAGGACAGCTAGGAGTCAGTCTACAGAACAGAGCCAGAAATAGCTGCTGAGCACCTGAGCATTTTGGGTGTGACCCAAAAGCAAAGCATAAAACAGGCAAAAGACTATTTTGGGTTGGGATTGAGGCATACCTGGTGCTGCTCAGAGCTTGCTCCTGGCTCTGCACTCAGGAATCATTCCTGGTGGTGCTCAGGGGAACTAGATGGACTGCCAGGAATGCACAAGCGTCTTACATGCTGTTCTCTCTCTCTCTCTCTCTCTCTCTCTCTCTCTCTCAGGCCCCATGAACAAAAGACTTGACTCAGTGCCATCTCTGACTCTAGTGTTTGCTTTAAAGTCAAATAGCTGTACTGGAAAGAAATACCTTAGAGAAGGGGATGTATGGATGTATCTCAAAGTTGGAGTGCTTATTGGAAATTTCAGACTTTTCTTTGTGTGAGGGTCTTAAACGGTTTTGTCAGAATCAGAAACCTTGAGCCTAGAAAATTTTTCCTTTTAAATTATCATTTTAAATATTTTTAGGGAACTATTTAAATTCTTTGGTGTCTTTAGACCTTTCTTCACTTCTTTCCTAAAAAATATTTAGGTAATTTTTGAAAATATTTTGAGAAATATTAATGTTGTATTTTTAATGTTATACTGCTTTCTTTCAATTTTACTCAGCAGAAAGACCTTTGAATCTCCGAATGCCTAATTTGCAAAACCGACAGCCTCACCATTTTGTGATGGATGGGGAGTTGAGTAGACTTTACTCTGCCGAGGCCAAGTCCCACTCATCAGGTGAGCTTGCAGGATAAGAATAGAAAAAGGAACACTTTAATAAAAAGTATTTTTAAATTCTCATCTGTCATCCTTTCCCTCCTTCCTGTTGAACTGAAGTGTGCCAGAGGCAGAAACAGTGTCAGTTGTATGTACACAAGACAAGCACCTTAACCCCTTTACTGTCTCCCTGGCCCTATACAAGATTTTAAATTGAATAGTAATTGGAAAATTTGAATTATATGATTGCCTTTTTCTGACTTTCATAATACGAAATGCATGCATTACATTTTTTATTCTTAAAATTAGAACATCTATGCACTGAATGATTTCTTTGTACTTTTCACGTGAATGCATTTTGGGTATGATATTCAGAAGAAAACCAAATTCCATACAAGGATAAGCTGTTCCTTATAATAGTCAGCTGTTTACATACTTGAGTGAATTCAAAGAGAGTTAGACAAAATAACTCACCAATTGATGACCAAGAAAGTCATCAAAACAAATTGAAGATTCAAAGTACTACTTAACTCTCCTACTGTTTACAGATATGGTGTATAGAATCAAGGCTCTTGTATCACTTCATTAAGTTAAAGAAAATTCAGGAGTCACTTGACCTAAAGTACTAATTTTATAGATGAGGAAAATGATTCCAGGTATTTTGTAAGTCAGTGAAGAAGTAGTTTTGCAAATTATTAGAATTAACCTGACTTTTATACTTACTACTTACAAAGAGAAGTCTTGGGAAAACAAGTTGTCAAGAGATTTTATGTCTTTTAATTTCAAGCTTTTAATAGCAGATGCTAAAAAGCCAAAGTCTTAAATATTCTGTGCTGTTTGTTACTTATTGAAAACTTGATATAAGACTATAAACAGGGAGCCATAGTATAGCAGTAAGCTACTTGCCTTGTCCACGGCTGACCCGGGTTCAGTCCCAAGCCATTTGGTAGCCCAAGCCTGCCAGGAGTGATTTATTTATTTATTTATTTATTTTTAAATTTATTTATTCAATCACTGTGAGAAAAGTTACAAAACCTTCAGGTTTATAAGTCTCGGTCATGCAATGATCAGACACCTTTCCCTTTACCAGTACTTATTTTTCACCATCAAGAACCCCAATATACCCCGCCTCCCACCCCTCCCAATGCCTGTGAGACAGATGAATTCTACTTAACTCTCTATCTCCTTTGATTGCATTCATTATTTTGACAAAAGATGCACTATTATTGTTTAGAGTTTACACCCAACAATCAGAACTGCTCAATAGGCATTGTGAAATAATTTGTTTTCTACAGCTGGTTATGAGAACCATATGATGTCTCATGGCCAAGATAGCAGCCATGCGATTTTGGAATTCTGATATTTTACTTATTAAGTCTGGAGGGATTTCTGCCAAGAGCCAGATAATTATGAGATTGGTTTCTGTGGCTCTGGAGCCATGGCCGTGCCGGCGAGCTGCTCGTGGGGGCATCTCGTGACCTCGGTAGGGCATGAAGGATGAGCGGGAACGTCCCCCTTCCCATGAGGTTGTAGTTGCCCAGTCACCACCGGCTCGGCTCATACCTGACTTTCCTACAAGCTCCGAGTAGGCTGCCATCTTGCTGCCCGGGGGGAAAAAGGCAGAAGGGAGCGACACCCCTTCCCTCCTGGGGAGGCATGGTACCATGGATTAATGCATCGTTCATTTACTTTTCTGCCGCAAGCTGCCGGGCTCTGCATTAAGTCCTTGTGCCTCTGGAGCCATGGCTGTGCTGGAGAGCCGCTCTTGGGGGGCAGCTCATGACCTTGGTAGGGCATGAAGGACGAGTGCCAGGAGTGATTCTTGAGTGCAGAACCCTGAGCAATGCCAGGTGTGGGTTCCCCCCATCGTTACCCTCCACCCTATCACCCCTGCCAAAAAAAAAAAAAGAGTATAGACAAGTTCAAGACCTTGAAAAATTGATACTGAACTAAAGATCACATTATATTCTTATGTTTTCTACAACATAAAAATTAGTAGTCTGGGGGGCCAGAATGATAGTATAGAGGATAGGGCTCTTGCCTTGTATGTGTTCAACTTGGATTCCATCCCAGCATTCCATATGATGTCTTGAGCCGTGCCAGGAATGATTCTTGATTTCCAGCGGTTCAGGTATTGACCTTGCACTTGGCCAATCCGACTTCCCGGTCCCCCAAGCACCGCCAGGAGTAATTTCTGTGTGCAGAACCAGGAGCATTGCTGGATGTGACCCAAAAAGCAAAAAAAAAGAAAAAGAAATTTTATGTATCAAGGTTTTTGTTTTGTAAAATCCATTGATTTAAGTTATCAACAACGTTTATGTTTTCCTTTCTATGCAGAGAGCCTTGGAATTTTAAAAGACTACCCTCACTCAGCTTTTACTTTAGAAAAGAAAGTCATCAAAACAGAACCCGAAGATTCAAGATAGCTGTGATTCTCCCACTGTTCTTTGGAAATGGCTTCAGATTTAAGGATAATGCTCCATCATAGAAATAAGCCTTAATAACCAATGTTGCCTCATTCAGCTCAAACAGATCTCATAGCCAAAGCATGACTGATTTAATAGTCTGGAGACCAGGAATACAAAACAGGAGCCACAAAAGAGAAAAGTGAGAGTGTTGCAACCTAAAACAGAAATATTCATCTATTCACATTCCTGTGTTGAATTGTTTTATGTAGAAAGGCTTACAAATTAATATTGTAAGCATTCATTATTTAAGAATGTACAATGTATTTGTGTAATTTATAGAAGTTAAAAATTTAGATTTTTGAGACCTGTTTGATCCAGCAGATGTGGATACAGTTTATTTACTTGAAATTTTGTTGTCTCCTTTAAATGTATCTAGCGTAAATACTATTATATGTAGTTAGAATCTATTCAGTTAAAAAACAAAAAGTTTGTGGTGTAATTTTGGCAAGTTGCAATGACTTTGGAAAAATGGAAAGCAAATACTCGATTTGAACCAAGGGGAAATATTGTGAATTTAATATTTGATAAAACTGATTTTGTTTAATAGGAGAAATCCTTTTTAATAGAAGAACATAACTTTTACTGACATAATCAGTGGACACTTACACTGTTAGTAAATACTGGAATTAAGTTAAAAAGATAAACATTAGAGTTAAAAGTCTATCTCACCCTCTTAACTCAGATTGTGTTCTATGATAGCTATTTAAGATACAGCAAAGCTAGGAAGTTCCTGCTTCAAAGAGAACTTCTAGCAAGTGGATTGAGGCAAAGAGCCTTGATGGAAAACTTTACTATTTCAGAATGTGTTAAATAGATTAAGACATAGTAAGTTAACCCTAAATGTGATAAGAATGGTGACTGTTGACAAAGGCTATAATATATAATAGAGTAAGTACTGTTTCTTATCCAGAAATTCCTCTCCATGTGAAAAAGAAAACTAGAGAACTCTCTCCCTGGAGTGTCTTCCCACCCAAACCAGCCCAATGTGTACAATCACCATGAACACATTTGCAGCCATATTTCCATGGAGATTTAGTTGACAACTGTAGTCATTATTTATTTTGCAATTTAAATTTTGTATATCTTTATAGATTTGTGAATGCAGTTTTTTTTCTTACAATTTATTTTAACTTGAGAGTATGTTTTTCATGGCCCCTATTAGTAGACTGTGTGCATATATGTGGGGATATGCTTAAATGTTAGTAAATATACTAGTGAAATGAGAATTTCCCATTGGAATTCATAGTTTAAAGAGAAAAGAATATACTACTTTTCCCAATATTATTTTTTTCTGTTGATTTAAGAGAAGATAATTTGACAACTTGACCTACTTCCTCCAGATTCATCTAAATCCAGATACTGCCGAGAACAGCATATGACTTGAAGAAATGTGTGGTTTTCAGTGTTGTTGTCATTTTCAGTTCTGTTCTAGGTCATAACTGTGTAAAAAAAAATACTAAGTTAAATCTGTTACACTAAAATTCATCAGCCAAATATTAGATGAAATGTCTACACTGTAGTCTCTGATCACTGTCACATATGTAATCGCTTTGTCATTTTGATTTATAGAATAGCTTTACAGTAGAAACACCAGTAAACAAATTTTATACTATTAAAAGGCTTTTATCCCTTCCTAAATGTATTAATTATCCCATAGTGTTTTGCCTACTGAAGAAGCTTTCATGGACTTTGCAACTTTGTTGCTTGTTTGAGGTTGTTGTGGTTGTATTGTTCACTGTGGGTAGTAGTAGTATGAGTTTGATTTAAATAGATTGTTCAGTTTTTAATATTAGCCATAGAACTGGTTAGTATATCAGTAGTTTCATGAAACGTTTCTTGTATTCTAATCTATTTTGAGAAATTTTGTGTATTTTTTTTAATTATGTCTTACAAATTCAAGTTTGTAGGTTTTAAATAAGCGATAATTTTTAAAGATGCAATCAACTTCCACAGTATTGATCCATCTTCCATTGCCCCATGAATTGCATCTTAAAATCTATAAATAAGTTTCCTGGAGTATCGTACTTTCCTGTTCTTTTCGAGCTTAGTGATAAGGGGGAAACACAACAAAAATTTCAGTAGAAAACAGTTTTTATTTTGTAAACACTAATGTATAAAACTTGCTATACATTGAAGCAAATAATATATATTTTTATTTGAATTGTAAATATGAATTGGATGTTATAACTAGTTGATTTTTTTTTCATTGTGTTTGAGGTATTTTCACTGAACAAGGTCAATTGGTTACCTCAGTATTACAGCCAATATAGTCCCAGGGACCATTTCTCCCCAAGTCTGTGTTGTACTTTATTATGTGAAGTCTGCGTTCTGTGACTCTTACTTAAAGCTGTTGGTGAGCTGGGACCAGTGCACTTGCTTCCTGTGGCAATAAAGATTTTCTGTGCCTCACACATTTATGTTTATAGAACTCTGTGCATAGCACTTTCCACAGTAATTAATCCTAGCCTACTCTGCTCCATGTCTGTCTGGGCTGGACCTGGGTATTAAGGGTCAGGGTCTTAGGTCTTAAGTCTAAACACTGTTATCAGCTACCTTATTTCTAGAAAGTCATTTGGCTAACGGGTGCTCTGTTGATTCTGGTCTGTCAATAGAGGGACTTTGTTTTTATCATTCTCACTTGAGATGTTTACAGGGTTATTTTTTAAGACTACCACATCTGAATAACTAACTTAACACATGGAAGCACTTTAGGATTAAAAATTTATACGATATTAGTATTTGTTTAAAGTGTTACTGTGATTTGTTTCAGTGTAACAAACAAATTGTGCTATTGTAAGGTATTAACAAAACCTTTTAAATGAAGTTCTAATTAATGAGTTTGGTAAATTGAGGAAGAGCATTATTTGGTCTAGCTCTGTGTGAGGTGCTGGGGTTAAGGGGGAAGCCATGGGAATGTCAAGAGTATTATAATCAGAACTAATACCAGAAAGTAAAAAGCAAATGTAAGTGTCTTAGAGACTTGGAATAAGTCTTTAAGGACATCTTGTGTTCAGTGGCATCATGTTAGTAAACAGTTTATTTGTGAAAAATCATATTTTGTGCATGATAATCAGAAGTGATCAGGCAAAACTGGAGTAGTGAACAGAAAGCGGTGAGAAGTGACAGAAAGCAGTAGTGATAATGCTTTTCACTTGGAGATCACTTCCCCTCTCCCCTCATAGGGGAAATGTGCTTTTTTTTTATTAATATAGGTACTTGAGTAAAAGCTTTAGGATTTGGTGATTAGGAGGCATCTGACATCTAGTATACATCAAGGTTATAGTTGATTGTATTTAAAACTAAGCATGCCAGGAGTTTCCTAACTAATGTAAGGTATGCTTAGTTGGCTACTTAAATATTTTATTATTGACGTAGTATCCATTGTGCTTGTGACTTCACTTAATCCTACACTTAGTCTTTACAAGAAAATCAACGAAGATTTTATAGGAAATGAATCCAGTTAGTAAATTGCTCAACTTAGAATCCAGCAAACCTACTGTGTTTGTAACAGCTAGAAGCATATACCCCAAAATAGTAGCTGCTATATACTATAAACCACCTCACGGTCCAGCCATGCACGGGTGGTTTTTCAGGGAATCAAAGCTTATTTACTCGTTACTACCTGTGGGTGTCTTCATTAATGAGATTCTCAAGTGGACCTTCAAACTTAATGACTGGTCCAAGATCTGGGGATGTATTGTAAATATGTTTAATCTCAAAAACTGTACTATTACGTATTTCTTTAGTGACCTTGTAAGATGATTCTTTGCATAGAAATGGTCAAGTACTCAACGCTGAGACTAGGGTTTTTCTTCCTTTTTGAGTATGGTACAATTAAAAATAGCTCTTCTCTGGCTACTGTTACTACCAAACTATGAAAGTTTTCTAATCACTTCAAAGGTGTTTTTATTTTTTGTGAAGAAGTTTATCAGAAATTGTTTCAATTCACCAACTTACCAGATTTAGAATTCAGAAACTGTCTTTACGTTTTTTAGCTCAGTGAAATTTGTTTTCTTTATAAGTCTAGCAAATTCCAACAAATACTTTTATGGGAATTAAATATTGATTGGTTCCACTAACAAAATTGGTTCCTTAAGCTCCTTAATTCTTTTGTCTTCCTGTCTTTTAGAGCCACATAGTATTTGAACATTAAAACATTGTCCTGTTGAATTCTGGGTCTCCTGGTTGTGTCTATTTAGTCACATTTTCTGAGGTTATTCTGACATACTAATAGTCAAGTTCCAAAACATCATTCCAATTATATTTAGATCTAGGCTTTACCAATTTGTCTTCAATTAGAGGAAATTTTTTATTATTTTTTGGTAGCAATTGGAATTACATTATATAAAACACTTGTATTGGTTCCAACATCTGCATGAAATTTTTAGTCAGGATCCCTTTTCTGTTTTGTTCTGCTTACCTGATTCCAGATGCTTCATTAAGAATCTGCCTCTAATTCTCCCCCCCCATCCATTTTGCAGTTGCCTCCTATTTTAGTTTTCCCTTGTAATTTCTAAAAAAAAAACTTGACTTTACATAGTATCAGAGAGAAATAGTTAAAGTGAATGCTGTGTATCAAATACAGCATTGCAAAATACAGGCTTATGTACATCATAACACTAGTTCAAAACCTTAGTGCCAAGCAAATGGTAGGGCCAACTCAAAAATTTTTCTTGTCACCTTACTGAATGACGCGGTTCGTGAATTTCATGGTAGTCGAAACAATGTGTTCCTCTCAGATTAGTTTTGCTGTGGGTGAACACCAGTTAAATTGTGCTTCATATTTACACATTCTGAAACCATGTGAGTCATTGCATTAAAAGTTTGCGCCTTGTAAGTTTATGTTTAAAGTGCCATATTCGACACCCACACACAAGCCTAAGCAAGCAAGGCCATTCTCTTAAAACTGTCACAGACCACCTCTGCTAGCAGGTCACTTCGGCTTACGTATGTAGGAAGATATTTAAATGGTGCATATGTAGGTGGAACTTTACCGGTAAATGGCTCAGCAGAGGTATTTTATAATTTCCTGAGTCTACCTCCCCTCTCAACTGTTAAACCAAACATCTGTGGTCTAGACCAATACCCTGCTATTTCTTATTCCTCCAAAAAATGATATGATTTCTTTGGGAACATGTTCTTATAGTGATGTCTCTAGAGTGATTCTAGTTGTTTCTCAAAAAATGCATACTTTATCAGTTAACTCTCAAAGTTGTATCACAATTTAGTTTTTTATTGATGTCAGGACAAGAAAGCTCATATAACGAGCTGGCAATAAAGTCAGACACCTAACTCCATTTAGTAGGGTAATAAAAGATAGTTTCACTCAAAATAAGTATCATAGGGTTACAGTGCTACAGTAGAAATTGAGGTGATTTTTTTTGGGGGGGTGGTTTGTGCGATGCTCAGGGGTTACTCCTGGCTTTGCACTCAGGAATCACTCCTGGCGGTGATCAGGGGACCATATGGGATACTGGGAATCGAACTCAGGTCGGCCACGTGCAAGGCAAATGCCCTGTCTGCTGTGCTATCGCTCCAGCCCCCAATTAACTTTTTTTTTAAAAAAAGAAAAATTGTCATATTTGAAAGTGAAAGAGATTAAGAGTTTGTTTCCCAATGTTACATTTATGTGCATGATAGTTGTTTTGCAGGAATAAGTCACTTTCTTTTGTTACTCCCTGATTAAGGTGACATTCTTTGTAAAACAAATGATTGAAAACCAAAACATTATATTCATAAATTAGTGGTAATTGTAGTGCCATACATCAGATTGACCATTTCCTAGTATCAGGCCAGCTGCTTGCCATTAAATTCTAACTCTTAAGAAGCAGTTGTTTTCACCTCTGTGTTGCAGATGATAAAACAAGTATTGAGTTGGGTAAGTAGTTAGCACACTGCAGAAAGTAATTTGGGCCAGGCCACTTGCTTGTTGCCACCTTATCCAGTCAAATTTCCTTTGAACCAAGTGGCCTGTGCTGTGCCCCATGAATACTTGACAATGCGGAGTTTTCCTGTATATGCATATAGGAAAAACTAGTCCCTGTCTCGGTTATTGACGAGGTAGCTAGCTCTTGACTAGGTGGCTGCAGGAGAAGCTTACTGCAGGAAGTAGATATTAAGGCCTGCCATTTTGAAGGCAGAGATCAAAGCACAGAAACAGACATTGATTGCCCTGCTCTAGGGTTAGCATATAGTAAAAGATCCAGTTAGGGTAGAAATCTATTCGGAAACCACTGGCAAAAGTTAAATGGACTTAAGTGGGAATTATTTTTTTTGGATTTGGGGGTACACCTGGCCATGATGCTCAGAGGTTACTCCTGACTCTCCACTCAGGAATCAAACCTGGGTCAGCTGTGTGCAAGGCAAACGCCCTACCCTCTGTACTGTGGCTTCTGGCCCCCACCCAGTGAGAATTTTTTTTTAATTTAAGAGTAAAACAAATAGAAAGGAATGCCCAGTAAGTGAAATTCATAAAAAGTTCTCATTTAATTTGGGAAGTGATTAGAAGTTTTGTCTTATACATGCATGCTCTTCATTCTTCATTCTTCTTCCCCCACCCCATCCTGTCCCTGCATTGTCTGTTGTGATGACCTGGGCTCTGATACTGACGTGCTCTCACATCTAGCTGTGCTCTTGGTGTGCTCCACATCAAGTTGTGGTGCTCATACCCCTCAACTATGGTGCTCACCAAGAATCATGATCTTTTAGTCGTGGTCACACACCTGGCTGGGAGTGACTGGAAATTGCTTGCAGCACCTTGGATCAGAGACCAAACAGGGGCCATGTTTGTACTCAGCACCAGAATGACAGGCATTAACCACGGCACTCGCCCTGGACCCCTAAGAGGTTTTGTTGTTGTTTGTTGTTGTTGTTATTGTTGTTTTAAGATTTACTGACATTTTCTCCCCTCTCCTTTTTTATTTTGTTGTTTTGGGCCACACCTGGAAATGCCCAGTGATATTTGAGCTCTATGCAAGGCTTGGGGCACCACATGGGGTGCTGGGGATCCTACAGGCTTATTGGGGAGGGGGTGATGTTAGCATATGTGAGTAGGACTTTCTTATAGGTAGCAAGAAATACAGAAGAATAAAAATTACAAGTTGAAATTAAGGGGGGTTTAGAATTTAAAGTCATTTTACTGGAGAGCATTCAAAAGTAAAGTTAGAAACCTATAATCCAGAAATAAACCTTAAGGGAACCCAAGATTGAAGGTTAAGGTGTGCTTTGAGTGTACTGAGGACTGAAAGAAAGGGAGTCAGTAAAGGAAACAAAGTTAACCATGGTTCATGTAACTACACTTGCATCTCCAAATTACTAGCTAAAACCTGATTTTTACAACTGTGAAATCTGGAATGTCCTTCCTTGTACTGAATTGCATAGTTTTAGAAATCTCACCTTCCCTTAAAACTTG